ACACACACACCACAACTCCCAGATGGCCTCCAAGGTGGGCAATGACAGCTGGTGTTTCTGAATTTTGAAGCTCTCTGTCAACATTCCTTTTGTCTTGAAGTTAGCCACAGGACCCAACAAAGGCAATCCCACTAAACAGTCACCTTCCTGCAATTCCGTTTTCTGAATAGAAAAATCAAAGGAAAAATGAGTGTTGCACATAAGTAAACATCTTTCTATCCCTAGCAATTTTTTCAGAGTAAAATTTTAGATTACATTTGGGGTATGCGTGTGTACACATGTAAGTAAGCCCACGCACCATGTGCATATGTGGAGGTCAGAGGCCAACATGGTCAGTTTTCTCTGCCACCATTTAGAATCCATGGATTAAACATGGGCCATTATGCTGAGCCATCTTACTGGCTCATTTTTTTTCCAGATTTTAAAAACTCTCTCCTGCCCCTAGGTCTTGAGGAAATACTTTTCTTATTCCTTGGCCTTCTCTGGCTTTTAGTCTCTCCTGGAATCAAACACAGTCTCAGTCATAAGGTCACCTATGCTCTGATTTCCTTCCTCAGCTCTTTCCAGGCAAGCATCTGTCCCTGTCACTGAGTGGCATTAGGGCTGGCAACAGCATGTTTCCAGGCTGCCCTGTTTGTGTTCTGTTTCCATCCCAGACAAGGTCTCACTCACGTTCCCTCTGTCCCATTAGAAATTCTCGTTTTGAGGGTGGTCAGCTCTCTTGGAATGTCAGTGTTGACTGTCCTGTGACTAGGAACCCAGGTCAGGCCAACATATATGTGACACAGCTTGTCACTAACACCTGGCCTTTCACTATTTTACAACCTCCTATGACCCTCAAGACCCATGTTTATCTTTAGAGTTATTTTCTCATGCCTTTAAGTGTTGACCCTCTCAGACCCCAAAGTCAAGGACAATCTATTTTCACTGTCTCCATTTCCTCACTCCTTCCACTCTTGGTTTGTATGAGACAGGGTATTTCATTGTCACCTCTACTATCCTGGAACTCATGTTCCTCCTGCCCCCACCTCCCAAGTGCTGGGATTGTAGGTGTGTGCCTCCATGACGAGGTCATCTCTTGTTTATTTGGGTTCTTTCCCCCATAACACCCCTTCCATGCTATAGGAACAGATTTTAATTTTTCTTTTTTAGTATTTCATGCCTGTGTGCCTAAGTATATGTGCATGCAGTACCCACAAAGTCCATAAGAGGGCATCAGATCCTTAGAGCTGGAGTTAAAAGGCAGTTGTGAGCCACCACGTGAGGGTTGGAAACCAACTCACATTCTCTGGAAGAGCAGCCAGCATTCTTAACAGCTGAACCATTCTCCCAACTCCACAGAAGTTTCGTTTTTAGAGGTTAAGCTCTCCCTTCACAGGCAACACTTCCTCCTCTTCCTCTATAGGACTCTGATTCCTCTCCGAGGAGAGTGAGTGAGAGAAACTATTCGCTGTAATGACTCATGGAGTTCCTACCAGACAAGAGACTGCAGTGGAAGCAGGCTTCGGAGGAGGGTGAAGTAACTTCTCACAAGTCTTTTTGTGGAAGCCTTTGCCACCAGACGCCTATCCTGGTGATTTTGTTTTATCTTTGTGCCAATACAGTTTCCACGATCCTTTTCTCTCGGGTGGTTCAGGTTAAACTTAATCACTTGAGTCTTGATTTCATTGCTTGTAGGAGAAAAATCCACATTCCTTGTCAGAGGCAGAAGACAACTGCAGTGTAAATATTAGAAACCCAGAAAAGTTAGGGCTGAAGAGATGGCTCTTAGGGCTGAAGAGATGCTTTTTGCATTTGCTGCAAAAGCATGAAGACTTGAGTTTGGATTCCCAGGACTCAGATAAAAAGCCTGGCATAGCCATCTCTGTGACAGGAGTGTATCACAGGGAGATGAGAGCATCCCTGGGGCTTGCTGACTGCTGACCTAGCTCCAGGTTCAGGGAGAGATTCTATCTCATAGGCATTGGACAGAGAAAGGGGATGATATCAGATCCCTTCTTGCAGTCTCCGCATGTGCATGCTCACAGACACACACTAAAACCTATATACATAAAAATATTAGAAAAGCTAGAAAACATGTTTGTTAAGGGGGACCTGGCAGACATCTGCTTGCTCTATTAAGAAATGCTGAGCTTGGCTGCTGGCACACACACACTCCTAACCCCAGCATTCAGGAGACTGAGGCTGGAGCACTGCTGTGAGTCCCAGGCCAACCTGTGTTCTAAAGTGTGTACAAGGCCAGTGGGGGCTACATGATAAACCCTACTTCCAAAAGGGAGTGTTAATATTGGTGCCAACCACTTTTGAGAATTGCTATTCAGTGAGCACCCTCCAGGCTCTTCATAGCTACCCTATGAGGAAAGCACAAACCACTTCCATTAACATTTTACAGATGAGTAAATTCAGACACCGAAGAGGCAACAGAAACAAAGCAAACTGCCGTAGATGTTTTAGCATTAAGACACATCCTTCCTTGTCACTGGTCAGGACACCCAGGTTTAGTACATTCTGCTGATTTCCTGGCATGATTTTGTGACTGTATTCTCTATTTGGTTTAAGGTTCATCAGTTGCATGCAGCACCCTGGCAGCCTGAAGCTCACAGGGGCCACCAAGGGAGCTGAATGAAAAGAGATAGAAAGGAAAGGACATGATTAGGTATGGTCGAGGAGAAAGTTTATTAAGATATGTGAGAGAACACAGCCAGAGGCAGAGACATATGGGAGAGTCCAGATGCACATGGCCAGCTGAGCTGGCCCATGTCGGAGAAATGAAGGGAATGGAGAGAGAGGGAACCAGGTGCAGCAGCCAGCAGGCAAAGGTACAAAAGTGTGGGTAACCAAAATGTCTGGATTATATAGGGAAGAATAGCCCAGGCCCCCAGGGCTGGAGCGTTCAGGGTAGGAGGTGGAGAAGGCAAGCCAGGAAGGAGTGAGGACAACCGGGAGAACGTGGCAGCCAGTGTCTCCTTTGACTTGTTAAAGGCACCTCACCCGCTAGTCGCTAGTCGAGGTTTTGAAATTTAACTGTAGCCTACATCAGAGCCGGTAGGTGCACCGGGCTACGCGTGTCCTGTGGATCCCTGACTTCGCAGAACTGCAGGCACAGGAACATAGCAGCTTTCTGGATTATGAGACCGTGGCTCTCCTCACTCGAGCATCTGGAGACTTTCCATGCCTGCAGCCTGGTGAGACCAAGCACTCCTGGCCCAGAGACTAGCATCTGTTGCTGGGATGATCTGTCACTTTCTATCAGGAGAGCAAGGGTCCTCTTCTCTTCATCTTCCTCTTCACAGTGGAGTCCAACCATTCTCATGCACCAACATCTCTAACCTTCCGGAAATCTAAGGTCCCAGGCTTGCTCCGCCCTCCGGGCCACGTGAACGCGGTATAGGCCTGGAGGGGGGTGGGGGGGCGGCCGGGACTCTGGAGGGCGAGCTTAGAATAGGACACAAATTGACGGGAAAAGAATGACAGTCTGGGGGCGGGGTCAGAATGGACCTAGAAAGCAAATGCGGGACCTTCAGGGCGGTTGAGGGGACCGAGTGACCTAGAAGACCGGTGGGCCCACTTTAAGTAATGAACTTGGAGTGGGTTGGGCAGGTCCTGGAGACAGGCGCTCACCGGCCGTGTTCACACTCCTAAAGGACCTGTTGAGGGTCACCCCGGCGTGAAGATTCAGGGTTACCAATGAACTCAGAGTGGAGGGAAGGGCCAAGAAGGCTGGCACCAGGGAAAGGTAAATGAACCTTGAGGTGTGGCTCCAGGAGCACCAATGAACTTACTAAGGGGAGCACTAGGGCGGGGCAAATGACCTGGAGGGGTGGATCCAGGGCGCCAATGAACTTGGAGAATGAAATTAGAAAGGAAGGGCGGGCACCAGGGGTGGAACCCGGGAGGCTTGGAGGGAGGACCCAGTCCGGTCCCTGGAGAGCAGAGTTGCAGGGCCAGAAGTGTCCACTTGGCGGAATGGAAAAACAGGGGGCGTATCAGGTCCAGGAGGCGGGTTCAGGTCAGGCTCCTAGGCTAGTTCCAGAGGCTAAAGAACCCGAAGGGCGGGCCGGGCACTAGGGCGGGACTAATGGGCCTAGAGGGTGGATTCCAGGGGTAGAGAAACTCGGCGGAGGTAGGGCTGGTGCCGGAGGGAATCTGGAGGATCAAGTGACCAAGGAGGCGGGGCTTGGGGAGGCGACTACAGGCAGTGCGCGGGAGTCCACGGCAGGCTCAGCACCTGGCGTCTGAGCCAGCGGCGGAAGGAAAGAGCTAGCCAAACAAGAGCCTGAGCCGAGGCCAGAGCCCTCAGGCAGTAGGCGTGACCTCTGTGGTCCGGTTCAATCCCTGCAACCCATTCCCAGTTGGCTTGGACCGATGAAGCCCATTGTTGGAGACTGTGGAAACTGAGGTGGTGACGACGACACTTGGTCCACTAGCGACCTCTCAATCGCCCCTATGGCACTGCCTGGAGCTGAGGGCATGGCAGACATACCACTGTCCCCAGCCCGTGGAGACTCGGGGTGCGCCTCATCCGGGATGTGGGCTGCACTTTACGACTACGATGCACGCAGCGACGACGAACTGAGCCTGAGGCGCGGTCAGTTGGTGGAGGTGCTGTCCCAGG